CTTAGAGACCTTGTTTCTACTGGAAATCCCCATGGGGTCCAGTTCCTTGGCTGTGTTGTGAGTGACCTGATCTCTGAGTGAGCTTGCTGGCACACCTGACACACGCACGCTGTACTTACCTGTCAGCCCAGTTCTACTTTTACATCCCCACCTCGGGATTTCCCATCCTTTTACACAGAATCTGACACACGGTTATGCATTGTGCTGTTATCTGCAAGGTCCACAGTTCGAAACCACCAGCACTCCTCGGGAGAAAGATAAGGCTTTCTACTCCCGGGGATAGTTACAGTCTCGGAAACTCACAGGGGAAGTTTCCCCTGTCCCGTAGAGGCTCTATGACAATGGTTCTCAACCTGTAGGCCAAGACCCCTTCAATAGGGGTCAAATGACCATTCACGAGGGTCCCCTAAGACCATCAGAAAACAAATTTCCAATGGTCTTAGGAACCAAGACACTGCTCTCTATCCATCTCCAGGCAGATATGCCTACATACAGGTACCTGGCGTGAAGACTGTTACCCATGCTACACCACACTTCAAGACAAAATTTCATTTATTTGTCATTAGAAAGAAATATTTCACAATACATAATCACATATTGTTTTCTGATTAATCACTATGCTTTAATTATGTTCAATTTGTAACCATGAAAATACAACCTGCATATCAGATATTTACATGACGATTCATAAGAGTAGCAAAATGACAGTGATGAAGTAGCAGTGGAAATCATGTATGGTTGGGGGTCTCTACAACCTGAGGACCTGTATGAAAGGGTCGCGGCATGAGGAAGGTTGAGAACCGCTGCTCTCTGAGTGGGTATCAACTAGACAGCAGGGAGCTGAGACGGCGCCCCCATGAGACGTTCCGCCCCGTAGAGAGGTACACTCTTGGAAATCCACAGGGCGGTCCTGCCCTGCCCTTTAAGGCTGCGATAAGTTGGAATGGGCTCGATGGCAGTGAGTTTGGTTTGCTTTGGGGTTTTTTAGGAGTCTCGGTGGT